CTCACCCACGCAAGCCGTGCCATCCTCGTTGGGCTCGAAGCCCCGGCCACAGCGCTTGTTGGTGCGGCAGCGGTACCCCCCGTAGGTGTTGATGCAGACAGGCTTGTCTCTGGGACAGACGAAGGGGAACTCTGTGCACTCGTCTGTGTCTGCAAGCAGAGGGGTCTCCGTGTGAGATGGCCAGGCCGGGAGCTTCGGGCTGCCTGTCATGGACCCTCCAGCTCCCCAAACACATGCTGCACTGGGGCCTTGGGTCACCCTCCTCAGTGGCAGACACACAAGCCATACTGCTGCCTGACAGGGTCATAACACAGCCATGGCCATGCTGCCACATCCCTGCTGCCCCTCTAGTGCTTGTGGCTCTAGTCCAATGTCTGCCACATGCCAGCCATGCCTCCTGTCCCCAGAATACTGCTCTCCCCCCTTCCCGTCACACCACAGTCCTCCTCTAGAGCCGTGCTGTTGTCCCCATCCCCAGGAAGCTATAACCCACCTCGAGCCATGCAGCAGCCCTGCCCGCCTGCCCAGCTACCTCCCTGGATGCCACCTCCCCGCAGCAGGGTGCTGCCCTCGTGCCCCCCATGGGGCTGTGCTGCAGCATCCCGGGTGCAGGGACACCTCTGTCCCCAGCAGCCACTTACCTACACAGCGTCCGTTCTCATGCTGGGAGAATCCCTGCCCGCACTGCATTTGGGGAGAAGCGGAGACCACAGGGAAGGGGAGAAATCAGCCCTGGGCAGCCACAGAGCCAGCAGAGCTCATTCCTGCCCCAAAAGCCTCCCACCCTGTGCCCCACACCTGGCCCTCACCTCCAGCGGCGCAGGCATGAACGGATCCTCCATGTCTAGGGGGTAGGGAACCTCCAGGACAGAGTTGGTCTCACTGCTGGCCACAGCTCGTGCCATGACACGGCCATCTGGCCAGGTCACCTCCAGGCTGCTGGCTTCATCGTGCCCTGCAGGCAGGCAGCCCGTCAGAGGGGGGCTCTCCAGGGCGGGCAGGGGCTGAAAGGAGGCCAGTGGGGTGGTAGGGACGGAGGGGCAAAGCCTCCTCTTGCTCCCAGAGCCGGGCCCCAGGTGCCTGTGCCCACAGCCCATGCAGAGGGATGTAGCCCCAGGGGTGCACTTGGGGACAACGGGCAGGGGTGACTACTGTGCTGCAGGGCACCAGGGCAGCAGAGGTGGCCCCTGCCCAGGGAGGGGGTGCCAGGGAGGGCCAGGGGTGGAGGCAGCCTCTTACCCCGCCCCCAGCTCACCCAGTCCGAAGTGCGCCACGGGCTCCATCTCGCAGAGGTATCCTGATCCACCGTCGATGATGCGCAGGTGTGCCCCGCTGCGCCGTGTGAACAGCACCACCTTGGCCCCCCGCGCAAACGCCCCAAAACGCGTGCGGGGGATGACACGCAGCCAGTTGTTGCCAGCACCCTGCGAGGGAGGAAGGAGCAGGAGACTGGGCAAGGAGAGGCGGAAGGGATGGGGACAAGGTGAGGACCCCCTGCTTGGCTCACCTGGGTGCCCTTGAAGATGGAGATAGGCTGTGCCATGGACTCGCCGTGTGACAGGATCAGGTCCAGCATCCCATCGCCATCAAAATCCGTCACTGCACCCCCTGCAAGGACAGGATCAGGTCGTGCCCAGGGCCCAGCCTCATGTCTCCCAGCACTACACCCCACTGCCAGTGTGGGTTCCCACTGCCTGCAGCAGCACTCCTGGCAGTGCAGGGGTGGTGGGGAAGATGGGGTGACCCCAGTGCAGGTGTTAGGGGCCTGGTGGGGGTCAAGCAGGTGACTCAGCCAGGCATGTGGCATCCCCAGGCACAGATGGTGCCAAGTGCTGCTGTGGCACACCGCTGGCATGGATGCCCACTGCCAGGGCTGGCAGGACCTACCTGTGCCACGTCCCTCGGGCTCCAGCGCGTCCCCCGGATTCAGCTCTTCCACGAGTGGGTCCAAGTGCTCCCTGCGGATGATCCTGTCGATCACAAACAGGGCATTAGTGCCAGCTCCTCCAGCCCCCAGCAGCTTCTTGGGGAGTGTCTGTCCCCTCCTGCAGCAGCACGGTAGAGAGGTAACAGTCCCAGGGGCTCTTCAGGGTGGCTGGGGACGAGACTGGCCCCTGACTGTTAGCACCTCAAGTCTCCACTCTATGCAGAGGTGACAGGGATGTCATGAGAGCCTGGCTCCTGTGGGTCCGAACTGCAGAGCAGCAGCGCTATCTCCAAACACCGCTGCATCTCTCTGGGACCAGAGACCCCCCAGGGGCTCCCCACCGCACCACTGCCCTCCACCCACCCATGGGCGCCGGCACAGGGTGGACACCCAACTCCCATGGCCGCACACACCAAGCAAGGAGGCGCTGCACAGCAATAACAAGGAATTGACCCCCACAATTAACAGGAGCCACAAACAAGCTTCCACATGGCTGTTAATCAACGGTGCTGGGGACCCCGGGGGCTGCTGCAGGCACGATCACTGCAGCTGGTAACGACGCTGGGAAGGGCTCAGTCACGGCACCTGTTATTAGCCGAGCAGTGAGCATGGCTGTGCCATGGAGGCTGCTTGGCCCCCCTGTACCCGCTGGGCTCCTACCGAAAGAGGCGGTTGGCGGGGGAGCCACGGTAGGCAATGTTGTTGAAGAAAACCTCCAGCTCCTGGTCATTGTCAAAGTCTGCTGCGATGACGGTTCGGACAGGGGACGGCATGGAGAACTTGGGGGTGGCAATGTCCTGTGCGAGGGATGGGCACAGGGTGACAACAGGCACAGGGAAAGGGATGCCAGGTCACACTTGGGTGCTTCAGGTCCCCTTCCCGCTGGGAATTTGAGCTCAAAGCCAAATGTGGGTGAAGCCAGACCCACCCTGGCCAAAGAGGCTCATCAGCAAAGCCAGCAGTGGGGGTCCCCAGCCCCAGCTCTCACCCGGAATCGGACGCGCCCAG